ATTTTTATATCCCTTAATACATTGCTTAGTCCATGAAAAACGAATTTTTGCGATTAGGACACTCCTCCAGATTTCTGTGTTAGATTTTCCATCTTTAGTCACTATACTAGCCAGATCGTAACAAAGAAATTTGTTTGATTTAGGTATAGCCAGAATGTAGCTTACGTCATGAAGTCTGTCTTCATAGAGTTAATGGATTTTTATTCTTGTTTTCTACTACTTTTTCTAAGAGTTCTTTCAGGTTTCTTTCTGAGTCTACCATCGAAATAATGCCATCTATGTCTGTTAAGATTGTGTCTGTCGATAATAAATCCTGGTATTTCTCCGATAATGTTCCAACTGTATAGGTTAAATCAATGCGACGACAAAGCGAATCTATTTGTGTTTTTTTTTTTTGTGTGCATTCACTGAACTCGTGGGAATGAAATACTGGTCAGGAAAAGAAAAAAAATAATTATATTTTACATTCCAAAATATGTTTTGGCTTTAAATAATCAACAAAGGGTTGATAACCCGTAAAAAACAAATCTGTCAATCAACAGAAGGCATTCTCTATACCCATGTAGTTAAATCTAGGATTCCTTCTGTTTTTCTTGCATTCAATGCGAAAACTAAGCCATCCTGGGTAGTACAATAAATCAAAAAAGGCAACAGGACAGTTTTGAGGAGTATTGAACCACATCTTAAGTGTTGTTTATCTCAGGTTCAACCTGATTCGGGGTGGTAGCACCTGTGGGGGTCCCAGCTATGGTCAAATAGTGAAACCCCAAACTAGCGTAAAAATTCTATGAAAGTATAAACATACATTTTTATAGTAAAAAAAATAAAACAAAACAGCAATACATTTTAATAGCAAAAACAAATTACAAGTAATACATTAAAAATAAATAAATAAAAATTACTAAGTTCTGCAGAAAATTAAATTTCAGCATTAAATGACCCATAAAGTGTTGATATGCAGTTTAACAAACAAAAAGCAAATAAAACGTCCAATAAGTGTTTTATTCGCCAGACCAGCTTTCCTCATGTAATAAATTTCAACTGTTACTTTCTTTCTGATTATACATATAATTTTTTTTCTTAAAACTTGTGCTTAATAATTTTTCATGAGAGTAAGAGAGTTAGTTTGTGTTTAGTCAAGTTTCTGACTGAGAAAATTCTACCAACTTGGAAAATCTATTTGAAATCCTTACTATTATATGTATTCGAACTGAAACAGGTGGCTGATGATAATGGAAAGATTAACCGTTTCCTTATAAGGAAACATTTGGCATTCATTGATCGAGCAACCAGTACTACTTTTAGTTTAAATTTTCAAAATCTTTCTCTTAAAACAATTTCGCAGGAAAATAGGTTTTTCAAGTCCACTGTTATCGCTATTTCTAGTATTGTTGGGGGCTGTCATCCTAAACATTTTGGGTACTTCAACGTGACGTAATGTCTAGGAAGCTTGCCTCGCTAGATCAGTTACGACTGAGTAGTGGATTCGGTCCATGCTGAATATTCCACATATTCGATCTTGTGCTACATCTAAGCTACGCTTAGAAAATTATTTAGGGTACTTCGACGTAGTGTAATGGTCAGTAAGCTTTTATTACTAGATCAATTACGACTGAGTACACTTTCGATCTTTGCTTGGTGCTCCATACTTTCGGCCTTGTACCACATCTAATCTACGCTTCGTAAGTGTTTATCTTCCAAAACATTGGTTTAAAATAGAGTAGAACGTCGACATCTTGATCATATCATTGTTTTCTCGTCAAATTACATGTGCAATCCATTTTAGGTGTTGCTGCTGTTGGAAGTTCAAAAGTGGTTTCTGTCATTTGGCACATTTCTTTTTGATTCTGTAGCGCCAGACCACAGGTTTCTAAGGAATATGTCTCTCGCTAAAGGCTCCATTCGCTACAAGCGTCATTCACTCAAAGGTATTTTAATTCGTTTTAATCTGGGAAGCGATTGTATGAAGCTGAGAGTCTAGATATTTCTAACCTTGTTTGACGCCATCCATGGCATCCATGAGAAAGTCTCGATCTAATGGCTCTATTTAAGGACATATTTAAGACTATTTAAGAACATAACTCTAGAGTTTAGGTTAATATTTTGGTTTTGTCGTAGTTGGTGGTTTTAAGCGAAACTATACCTAAAACAGCTTATTCTATGTTTAAATTCTTTATCCCCCTCACTAAACTGGTTATAAGCTATCCACATACCGAGGTATTTGAAGTGTTTAATCATTTCTTCGATCTTTGAACATGTCGACTGTTTCTCAGAGCAGCATGAGCAGCGTAGGTTAATGTACTAAGCAGAAATCTGTGTTTTGTTATGATTCAGGCTTAAGACTTGATCTCTTTTGTGGCATATTGTTTAACACATTTCAGTTCAGTTCAGTTCTTTTTTTCTCTTTCTTTATTGAGAGTTCAAACCTTCTTTACGCTTGGGTTATTTTCAACTAAATATAGATATTTTTTTTTTATTCACTGGCACGTTTTATTTCTTGTTTTTGTTTTGAAGATTCATCCGAATTTAATTATAAATGAAGGCCTTTGTAATTAAACCTGAAAACCTTATAAAATAAAGAAAACGCTTCTTAGGAACTGTAAATTAAAATAACACGGTAAGTCGATTCGCATTCCCTAATGATTTTCAACCAAATTAGTCACATTTTTCAGTTTCTTCTAATCATGTTTTCGTTTCAGTGTTTCTCGATGTTTTATGATTAATGGAGCAACAACTCTTCTCACCATGCCACCCCCCCCCAGAAAAAATAAGAAGAAAGAGAACCCGAACGACTAAAGGATTTAGTTATTTTCGGGAACATTTGCACACGACACTTTACATCTGGTTTCGCTGACTCAACCTAACGTATCGACACGACTTTTGTCCTCTCTTTCGCTATCATCTTTCAATCACTTTCAGTCTGTTCGTATATTTATCGATCGATCTTAATCTGTACGTATCTATTTTTCTCTCTCTCTCGCTTTCTTATATATATATATATATATATATATATATATATATATATATATATAGATAGATAGATATCGCAATATATATATATATATAGATATATATCGCAATGTGTGTGTGTGTATATATATATATATATATATATATATATATATATATAATGTCTATATATATATATATATATATGCAACACTGGAAGATATGAATCCATCTCCTTTCTCCCAGTTATGGATTAAATAGTAGGACTTGTATCTGAAAACATAAATGTTATTCTGAAAATTATTTAAATCCAATATTCACTCACAAAAAAAGAAAATTATTATTACAATGAAAAACATGTTTCGGCTTTAAATCACACATAAATAAGCCCTATTAAAAACAAAACAAAGCAAATAAGCCCTATTAAAAAAAACAAAAAAAAAACAAATAATGCCAATTAAAAACGAAAAAAAAAAACAAAAAAAACAAAAATCAAATAATAAGACACAAATAAGTCCTTAATAAAATAACAAAAACATGCAAATCTATCTATCTATCTATCTATTGTAGCATACCTACGGACGATAATGAGTATACCCCCATTCACATAAATGCAGTAGTAAATACTGTATGTTGGTCTAGAGTTGGAGATTCTTCTCCAGCTGTGCTGATCAAACTCTGCTTCCGGGCAGATAGGATCCTCAGACGAGGCTATTTCGAACCGCAGAGTCTCGTCTACCCGACCTCGTTTTATACGGGGTCTACGAGGATTTTTTTGGCCGAGCCTACCCCACATAAAATTCGTCCTTTTGCCACATCTAAATACGTGGGGCGGTTGATAAATATCCCGAAGTTCGGGATTCAATGCAGAATTCACTTGACTCACTTCTAGCAGTTGACTACTTCTTCTACGTGCCGCTGGCGAATCTTATATGTTTTGTTCTTGCCCTAAGTATTATCGTCCATTATTAACCTTCGTTTGATTATTTTTTTCAGTAACCTTCCCTAGGTTACAACACTATGTATATAATTTACTTGCAACAGGATATTGTAAATTGTGTGTAAATCACTGTTAATGAAAACATTTACTTTCTGTCTTTGATTTAGACATCTAGTCTTACTTTAATTCCACTGTAGGAATCCTTCTACTCGGTTTTTCGTTGAATATTAAAATTTGGAGTGTCGGGATTCAATACATTAATAAAATATCGTTACAGGGTCGCTCGTAATTTGGCCGTCTAGAATAATCCAAAGCTTTTCATTGAAGGAATAAAATTCAGTAGAAAAGACGATGTAGTTTCAACAAATAAACATTGATTTAATATAACGATAGGAATACAGAAAGTTGGAAAGTAATGTCTTTTGTTTGGGTTAATAAAGTTCTGAAATAAAATATAAACTGTCTTTGTGTACGTGTGAGAAACAATAAAATGTTGTGATATGTGTTTGTATGAAAAGTCAAATATGTGTGTGTGATACATAAAAAACGGATACGAGAGATACGAATTGTTTTTGCATGGTGTTGCTGTGGTCTGAGTTTGTCAATGCTGTCGTTTTTGACATGAGGTCAGAAGGTCATCGGCGAAAGGTGGTGTAGTTTGCTGGCAGCCGCGTGTATATTGTTTTTTGGGATCGGATTTCGTATGTTTTTATACACTTTTTCCGAACAATATCGGCTCCAGAATTAAATTATTTGTTTATTCCTAATTGGTCCTAAGAAGTCACGTGGTATGTCTTCTACTACGTCCGTACAATATTTGGTCGGTATCTACCTAAAAATAATGATGACTAATACAACAAACATTCTGATTTTGTATTCTATGATTTTATTGGTGTGTTTTAAGATGTAAGTATTTTCTTGAGTGTGATTGGTTTTTAAATATTGTAGTTGATATTTTAGTGGACACAACACCACGATCAGTGTAAGATGTGAAGTCCCAATCTTCGATCGAATTGGGAGAATTAGTTGTCAGTTCCTCTTATCCAGTTGTGGGTAATTTATGTGACAAATAAATGACAATAATAGTAAGAGGATAATATTCCATGAATACTTGAAGAGAGAAACAGATGAAATTGCAGACGAGAAAGATGTGCACATATTTACTAAGAAGATGGCTGTAAAGAGAAAAAATGACTCACCGTCAATGGCGACAGAATATTTCTGAGGAAAAAAGCAGTAGAAAGGCCATAATATACAGGACAAAGCAGGATTGTAAATAAAGCCTACAAGCAGGGAGGGAGGGAGAGGGAGAGAGAGAGAGGGAGGAAAAGAGGGAGAGAGAGAGAAAGAGAAAGTGGAACAGAGGGAGAAAGAGAGGAAGAGGGAGAATGAAAGAGAAAGTGGGACAAAGGTAGAATTAGAGAAAGAGAAACAGAAGGAGAAAGAGAGAGAGAAAGAGGGAGAAAGAGAGGGGAAGAGGAACAGAGGGAGAAAGAGAGAGAAAGAGAAAGTGGAAAAGAGGGAGAAAGAAAGAGAGAGAGAGAGGGAGAGAAAGAGGAACAGGAGAAAGAAAGAAAAAGAGAGAAACAGAAGGAGAAAGAGAGGGAGAGGAACAGAGTGAGAAAGAGAGAGAATGAGAAAGAGGAACAGAAGGAGAAAGAAAGAAAAAGAGAAACAGAAGGAGAAAGAGAGAGAGAGAGAAAGAGGGAAAAAGAGAGAGAAAGAGAAAGTGGAACAGAGGAAGAAAGAGAGAGAAAGAGAAAGTCGAACAGAGGGAGAAAGAGAGAGAGAGAGAGAAACAGAGGGAGAAAGAGAGAGAGAGAAACAGAAAGAGAAAGAGAGAGAGAACGTGGAAAAGAGGGAGAAAGAGAGAGAGAGAAAGAGGAACAGAGTGAGAAAGAGAGAGAAAGAGTGAGAAAGAGAGAGAAAGAGGAACAGAGAAAGAAAGAGAGAGAGTGGGAGAAAAGAGAGAGAAAGAGAAAGAGGAGAAAAGAGAGAAAGAGAGAGAAAGAGGAGGAAGAGAAAAGAGAGAGAAAGAGGAACAGAGTGAGAAAGAGAGAGAAAGAGTGAGAAAGAGAGAGAAAGAGGAACAGAGTGAGAAAGAGAGAGAAAGAGGAACAGAGTGAGAAAGAGAGAGAAAGAGGAACAGAGTGAGAAAGAGAGAGAAAGAGGAACAGAGTGAGAAAGAGGAACAGAGTGAGAAAGAGGAACAGAGTGAGAAACAGAAGGAGAAAGAGAGGGAGAGGAACAGAGTGAGAAAGAGGGAGAATGAGAAAGAGGAACAGAAGGAGAAAGAAAGAAAAAGAGAGAAACAGAAAGAGAAAGAGAGAGAGAGAGAAAGAGGGAGAAAGAGAGAGAAAGAGAAACAGAGGGAGAAAGAGAGAGAAAGAGAAACAGAGGGAGAAAGAGAGAGAAAGAGAAACAGAGGGAGAAAGAGAGAGAAAGAGAAACAGAGGGAGAAAGAGAGAGAAAGAGAAACAGAGGGAGAAAGAGAGAGAAAGAGAAACAGAGGGAGAAAAAGGTAGAAGAGAGAAAGATAAACAGAAAGAGAAAGAAGAGAGATAAGAGAGAAAGAGAAGAACAGAGATAGAAAGAGGAACAGAGTGAGAAAGAGAGAGAAAGAGGAACAGAGTGAGAAAGAGAGAGAAAGAGGAACAGAGTGAGAAAGAGAGAGAAAGAGGAACAGAGTGAGAAAGAGAGAGAAAGAGGAACAGAGTGAGAAAGAGAGAGAAAGAGGAACAGAGTGAGAAAGAGAGAGAAAGAGGAACAGAGTGAGAAAGGGAGAGAAAGAGAAAGAGGAACAGAAGGAGAAAGAAAGAAAAAGAGAGAAACAGAAGGAGAAAGAAAGAAAAAGAGAGAAACAGAAGGAGAAAGAGAAAGAAAGACAGAGCAACAGAGGTAGAAAGAGAGAGGAAGAGACAGAGGAGCAGAGGGAGACGGGATCATTAATTAGAAAATTAGCACAGGATTAACACAAAAGCCGACATGTGTGGAGAGGAAAAGTGATTTACTGAGAATTTTGGAAATGACTTGGATTTGCCTATACTGAACAACAGTATATAAACAAACAGAAATCGTCCTAAAATTCGATGGGACTTAGAAATTTGAATTGATTACACAATCCCGGCCAGTAGGCTAAATCCAATTCTTATAAACAAGAAGTAAAATTGATAGAAAGCAAAATGATGGAAAATATATGAACATGAATAAAAAATTCAGTTGTTATCGACACTTTTCGAACTGTCTCAAAGATCTTTATAAAAAAAAGGTTGGAAGAACTCCAAGAAAAAAAAATCTAATGAAAGCATCCTTCATTTACAAGAGTTAGAACTGACAAAAAAAAATATGAAGTATTGTTGCCATAAACAAGCTTTAGGATTGGTTGGAGGCATAGTACTCACATTTAATCTTTGACAGAGTTCAAAAGAATTTAACTCACTCATGATAAATTATTTTTGGTCGTCGTAGGGGCTGATTCAATTATTAACTTAAAAATTAAGTCATCAGAAAAGTCAAATAACAGAGAGAAATAGCAAGTAACCTATCAAATAAACTTACATAAACGGAATGTAAGTGGCCTATGCTTAGCGCTACAAATGATTAAAAATTATAGAGACCTTTGATAGAATGCAAGCTGAAAGAATACAGCCCGAGAAAACTTTATGACTAACTTGTTGGCCCAGCCATGTCTGATCTTATTCTTCTACGTACCCCGTCCCTTCAGGCCGTGAGCGAACATGGCTCTCAACATCTTCAATATGCTTCGTACTCCTTGGCAATGTTTGTGAGTTCAATACCAGGCCATAGCTGTGGTGAACCAAACTTGAAGAGTTGAGTTAAAGGGAAATAACTAAGACATCCGGAAGAGGTGTGGCACGTGGAACTAGAACAATCTACTCTCCTGAAGGGTAGCATTAGCCATGTTGGTGGAAGGTAGAAATAGATCTCTTTCAGAACATTAATAGAGAACAGTTTCGTTTAGGAGACGTTAGAATTAACAAGACATTCCGTGCCCCAGTTAACAACATAATGTAGGTAATTTTTCAGTTCAACTGCCAATCTGACCTTATAGAACCGATCAGATTTACTATTAAAACAAGAGTAAATAGCTGTTTAATTAACATATATACGAAGTGAGACCTGATGTCATCAGGAAGGTCGTTGACCAAAATTAGGAAGAGCATATATCTAAAGATAGAGCCCTGGGAAGACCTGCATTAATTCAAAAAGATCCAGAAGATTGGCCGTTCAAGATGACCTTCATTTCGTGATTTAATAAGAAAGACTGAATTAGTTCTAAAATTCGTCCAGAAATACTGTAAACTTTGAACTTGCAAAGAACACCAGTATGCCAAATTACTACATACTGAAAAGTAAATAGAATGGCTGACATTTTAAAATCTTAGAAAATAGGCCCAATTTTGGAATGGCGAATAAACAATTTTAATTTCACACGATGGCAATTGAAAAAGACAGAGTAGAAGAAAAACTATTGAAAACTAATTAGGATTTAAACACGAGATTTTTTTTTATTTTCGACTGTTTTGATTATTTTCATCAGAACATTCTGAATATCTTCCCAAATGACAATATGTGGAGGAAAATCGACTTTGCAAACGCCAAATATTCTAATTACTGATTTTCCGAGCTAAATTTGAAATCACGTAAATATTTAATTTTACGAATGTACCCTGAGTATAAATCTATCATAAATGTTGGGGTTCACTGTGTCATAACTGTTTCGGCTTTTGTGAAATGAAAGCAGTCGGCCATTTTAATCGCTTAAATAAATGAAAAAAAAAAAAATATATATATACAGGGTATAACAGAAAAACCTCCCACATATGCATACCAGAAATAAACGGCAGGACATTACTAGCTATGGAGTTTTCTAGCTAATGCCTTATCATTATATGGGAGCTATTTCTGGGATTTATATGCGTGAGATATTTCTGTTACACCCTGTATAAGAAGAATGAATATGA